ACAAATTCAAATATAGGTAACAGAAGCCGAAAAGAAGGATATGACAGTGATTAGAGTGAGTCGGATATAAATATGGAATTGGATGACGATTCTGACATGGATTACAGTTCCGAAAATGAAGATAATGACGCAGAATGTATGTTTTGTTTGAGACTGTACTCAGAGGATACCAGAGGCGAAAAATGGATAAGATGTTACCAGTGTCTTAAATGGGGCCATGAGGAATGCTCAAATTCGGACAAAAACAGGAAGTTTGTTTGTGATTTCTGTTTGTCCGGATAAGAGTCCTAATTCCTAATACCGTCCACCGAAACCTTTCCCAATATCGCATATGCGATATTACGTAACCGTATTAAAATATAAAAAAATTGTAACATTTTTGCCTTTTTTATGTAATAAGAGATTTTGTTTTCTAAATATATTTTTGATTCATGATGTGTTTATTGATAATTAGGCTACATTTTTACCTTATAGTCGCAGCTTAAAATTATTTTTCTTCCAAGATACAGGATCCCAAAAAAAAAGTGTGATATTCGGGCACTTTCCTCTATATTTGAATTCTTCACTAAACTGTCTTTCCACAAGGGAATAATTTTGTTCAATTGTCACTTTTAGTTGTGTGTAGCCATGGTTTGCCACTTTGACAACAGTTTTCACTTGTCTGACAGAGTTGATAGTTTGTGTATTAAACCTTGCGAACTGCCAAAGCTGTTTCGCATCTATTCTAATCAGCATAAAGGTAGTGCACAGCTAGACTACTTCACGTTGGCGCTCGTTATCTGACCATACCATCTCTTTCCAGCTTCTACCCCCGTGCTGTTGCAAATCACCCCCCTACTGGGCGCGCTGATAGGAGTCGTGGCCGCCTTGATATTGGTTGCCATCATCATCGTGGTCGTGATCCGTCTTCGCGGTGGTGGAGACAGAGGCGATAAAGACTACGACGACAACGAACTTGCTAACAATGGCAGAAGGTAAGAGACAACCTGTCAGTGCCGGCACTGTGTTTATAACATGGTAGCTTCAAAGGACGCCATTTGAGCTAGAATGCACCGAGATAGTTGGCCCTCAGCGGGTTTTGAAGACCGTACGGGAGCGTACATTAATTACGTTCAGTGTTGCCAGAGCCAACATTGAAAATTCCGCTACTGGTATCGAAAAACTCCGCTACTTTCCGCTACCCCGGGGTTAACGTCGGGTGGGGGGCGCACTATCATAAAACAGGGAGGCATTTATTATACAGGTTGTGTCAAAAAAGGAAAACAAAAATCAAACAGCGTGATAAAATATAACATAAGGCTGTAATAAAAAAGGTCATTTCTGTTTTGCATAAAAAAATTTAAGTTTTTGAGTTACTTAAACTTAGTCACTGTCTGTATCAGATTCTTCTTGTTGCATTTTTGTTCTCTGTATACTATATAAATTATTTTTGTATTTTTTAAAATGTTTTTCACCAAACTCGAAGTCTAAGCAGCAACATTTTTTGTATTGTATCCAATTTGATAAGTATCGTGAACAAACTTGAAGGTAAAATACGATTCCTTTCCTTTGTTTTGATTATCTCCATATATGAGAATGTCCACTCGACATCTGCATTACCATGTGGCAAATGTTAAAATTATTAGACATACTTTGGAAATACACTTCACAAGTTGTTCTTATCACCTACTACCATATATACGCCTCTCCGTTGAATAAGAATTACCGACCGGCGGTCGATTGGAAAGACACCTGTATTTAGATTTGGTTACTAACTGCACTCAATTTTTTTTTCTGGTAAAAATATCCATCATGTGTACCTAAATTGCAAAATTCCGCTTCTTTTAACAAAAAATCCAATTACGCCGCTACCACTTGAAAATTCCGTCACCAGTAGCGGAATTCCGCTACTTATGCAACACTGATTACGTTAGATATTCAGGGGGTCGAGTCACATATCGCGTGCGGTGGAGATTTGGGGTTTCAGAAAATATTACGTAACGTCTTCCCACCGAAAAAAATGCAGAACTGTGAGAAAGTTCATTTGAAATAAAGTAATACATTTATGTTTGTTGATTAAAATATGGCAAAATCTAATACATTAATATTAACTCTTAATCAGTCTGAAATAAAAACTATCAAGCAAAATGTGTTTTTTAAAATAAAACCACACATTTTACCCATAAAAATAACAGTTAAAAATTCCAGCATAGCAGCTGGGCGCGACATTATAACATTTTTTTAAATGAAGGGTCATGTGACACCTCACTTTGAAGTTTATGACCACGTTATAACCCGAGATTATTTTTGTATATTGAATCTAATTAACTCAACAACTAATATACTATAACAGTAATGATCAAGGCCTTATAGAATGTTGTGTCAACCTTCTTCTTCTAAAATGATCTATCTGAAAGAATTTGGGATTAAAATAACTAACACATCTTGAACTTTGTTGAACGACTCAATACACGAAAACAGTCAACTTTGACAGCCTTTTGAAGATTTTATAAAGAGCTTCAAAATTAATTATCACACCCCATTTCATTTTAAAAAAAATTGCAACATGGCGCCTGGCCGCCATCTTCTGATCTTCAGCTGCGTCCTTTACGCTAAAATATAGTATTTCATATATCAGTTTCAATACCCCGATTTTCAGCTAGCTGACTTGACACGTTCGAAAAATAAGAGGGGGGCTAATTGAAAAGTACTTTATATCTCACCATGCGATGCAAAATGACTATTAAGGATTTAAAAACAGGTTTAAAATGATTGAGGCTACGACCTACGAGTTCCAAAGCTGATAGACAAAGTTTGTCACACATATTTGTACCGCTCGGAGGAGGAGTGCACTTGGTGCTGCTCGTTTGCTCTGGTATTCCGACGACTTGACACGATGGCCGTGATGGTGCAGTACGACATCTCTACGCTTAGTGTAGAACGTAAGGACATCTCTATCGCCTGGCATGGTGGCGATAGTCAGATTTTCCACCTACATGCGCACAATGTCTTGAGTTTTTTAAACGGTAATACCCACTTGTTTGCTTCCCGTTTCTACTGTCTTCAAAACTAATCCTAAGACCTATACTGCACTGATGAGCTGCTACTGAGCACGAACCAGCACTCTCTACGGTGAGTCATGGTTACAGGTTACTTGGTTTTTAACGATTGCCAGACTTCAAGGCAGTTACCGTTGAAAACAAAATCTCTTACAAAGTTTTATAAAATAGGTGTCCATGTTCACAGTGCTAAAAGAGATTATATTAATTGTGAGTCGTTTACTCCGGTTTTTGGTTAACATCGTAATATATGCACATTTAAGGTAACTCAGTATACAGTAAAGAATAACATTTTGTTTAGGGGAGTATCTGGAAGCAACAGCGACAAAGCGAGCACGGAACCTTTAAACAAAGAACTAAACTCGAGTACGGACAGCTTAGAAGAAAAGAATCCCGATATAATACCCCAAAACAACGCTGATGATGAATACCAAGACGAAGAGAGAGCATTTGAAAGGCTGAACAACATCACGATTCGATCGTATAGTCGGATACAAAGTCCAAACAGCCAACTGAAAAATGATAACTATATAACCAAGGTGAGTAACCCCTTGTCTATCGGTTCTCACTAATATTTCAGATGGTTAGATAGAGCGAAATGGCTACTATACCCAAATATCAATCTGGAAGAGAATACTCGTATAGATAGATAGATAGATAGATAGATAGCCTTTATTGTCTTATGGTATGACATAAGACTTGTCAACATTACATATACAATGCATAAGTATGCGATATGCAAAAAAGAACAGGTAGTTAATTAAAACAGTAATTGAGATAATAAATAATAAACAAATAAATAAATAAAATAGGAGTCATTACAAACACAAACAAATTCTTAATGACATCTAACGAACATGAAAAAAAACTTCTACTAAAAACAACAATAGACAGTTGTTTTCTTTTTGGTCATGACAGTTAAATAAAAAAAATACATTAATTCCAAGCTTTACCTTTGGACCCCTATACATACCTGCAATAATTTTGCATACTTTTTAACCGCGTCGTAAAACCGCAATTCTTAGTACGGCACTGTAACATGCTCGGCGTTCTGATTCACGATAACGCTCGGCCTCACGTTGCGGTAAGAACACAGATGCAACTGGACAAGTCCCCTTGGGAGTCACTAGATCATCCACCATACAGCACCATCATATTTTCATTTTTTTTCCAAAACTTGAGGAATTTCTTGGCGGAAAACACTTGGATGATAACTTGTTGAAAGAAACAGTTGGTAACTCGTTTGACACCATGACAGATGTTTAAATATTGATGGTGACTATGTGAAAAATATTTCAGTTTGTATTACAATTTACGTTCCTAACTCTGACTCCATTACTTAAAAATGATCCTCGTAAAAAGGTATGGGCTTAGCAGCAGAAATAATATATCTGAACCTCAGAGCCAGACTGAGTTAAGTCCAGATAAGTAGTTTTGAGATAATTGTATTTGAAATATATTTCTTGCATTGTATTGTATGAGACTTAACATGAGTTGAAAATTCGTAACTTCCTTATTATTACAGATAGATGGACGCTGCATATAGCAAATGAAAATTCACAATATTATCATAAGCTCGACAAATTAAACCCATTTTTCACAGTTATGGGCTTAACCCAGTCTGGCGCTGGGGTAGAGATATAATCATTACTGATAGAAAATGGGAGATCTAGAATGTTGTTGTAAAAAGTGTCTGCTTAAGAAATGTATGCAGTCCATTGGTGATCAGGACTATAGTTGACCCTATAGGGATAAACTAATAACAGGTAAAATAATAATAACAAAACGAAATAGTCTGCCAATATGATTGTATATCTGCCATAGAAGCGAGGTAAAACGCTACCTCTGAATTAGCGCCTGAGATTTTTTTTAATGCGCAATCCTTAGCTTTAACAGCTGTATGCCTTCCTAGATTTACCACTTTTAATGCAGTAGATAACCTCTCATCACCTGCTTTACTAACCGCATGCCGCTCGTTTCTGACAGTCGGACGAAATAACTTATGCGGAGCTTTCGTTGTCCAACCACCAGCAACCGCTGTCCGCTGCGCCTGCGCAATTGCTGTACAACCAAAACCAACCGCAACCGGTCGCGCCTGCGCAATGCATCCCTATGTCGCTGATGCGCAGGGCTGAGCCGACGGTTTACGCCCAGTTGGATGTAGCTCGCATGCGTCCGCCGCTCGCGCCGGCTGCTGCCGCGTTCCACGCACTGCAACGCCATCTGCCGATGACGTACCAGACCACACCTAGGCCTATGCGGGACGACATGCACGTGACGATGGCACAGCAGCCGCATGATGGATCCGTCACGTCAGAGACGCCGCTGCTCAACCAGAGGGATTCCAGCGTAAGTACCGTGTCACCAAAACAATGTGTATAATCTATCCAACGAACGTACGAAGTAATAAAGCAATTGACAGGGCGGCCCGATTTACAACGGCACAACTACCTTCAAAACCATTAATGCGTTATCGCCAGTTTCTACTATATTTTCATTACTTTCAAGGTGCTATAAGATTTATTAAATTGATATATTAAATATGCTGCCCCAGTTTATGTTTCGATAACTTTACATATTTTTAATATCACATGGGAAAAATAAAGAGAAGGGCTCAAAAATTATATTCTGCTTTAGATTGGATTCTGGATGTTTTTAATATAATACCTAATAATGGATCTACTTGCGTTCATTGCCACGTTTATTTCAACGGCTCTATCCGGATAGACTTTAAAGGGGATTATCCCAGTCATGTGTAATCCTGACCGTTTATTTCAAGTCAAACAAAAACTGATAACGTCAAAATATTGGACCATCTTCGAAATTAGCGGTCAGGATTAACACAAGATTGGGATAACCTACTTTGAAGTCTATCGGGATAATGCCGTAGAAAGAAACATGGTAATTAAAGAAGTATGTTTAGGCATATAGGTCCTTCGTCATTATCCAGTAAATATACAAATTACATTTATTAACTAATCACTTTCACTATCAGTATAATCTGATGATTCTGAACCGTTTCCTAAGTTAATAATCACTGGTTCAACCACTCTTTCCATACATCGGTCAGTTGTCCACATTTTTTCTTCCTCTTTCTCAACATGTTCGATTGCTTTTTTCCAATTTACATAAAAAAGCTGCTTTGCATCTGCGATCTTGATAGTTGTGTTTTTTATGGAAACTTCGTTTTTAATTTGCGCCCAAATGAACTCGATTGGGTTAAACTCTCAACGGTAAGGAGGCAGACGTAAAATCGTCCGATCGGTAGATCGATTCCACGTCGAGATGGCAGACGAGGTGGACGTATGTGCGATATGTGCTGATAATTTCATTGTTAACAACAAAGTAATAAAGTGCAAGCTGTGTGTTAAATCATTCCATCCTGTGTGTGTTGGGTTGAAGGATCTAATCTGCAAGTATCTGTGTGAGTTTGATAATCTGATCTGGTTTTGTGATAACTGCAAACAAGCAGGAAACTCTAGCGTCACTAAATCGCAGCTGGATGTTAATAGTGACAGTAATTCGCATATGTTGATACTACAAAAAGAAGATATCCAGGCTAAATTAATTAGCGAACTCGAGTCTTCCTTGGAGTTACATAAATTCAAATCCGATACGTTACAAAAAGAGCTCAGTGAGGCAAAAATTGCTATTGCTCCAGTAAAAAATATTGCCAGCACGAACACGTATAGTCAGGTATTACAGAAAAATGTAAAGAATGAGAAAAATGTAGAATCGTCTGTTTTACTAGTGAAATCAGCTGATAGGAATAATAGAAATGATGTGCTACAAGTCTTGTCAAAAACGATTATTCCTTCTCGTTTAAATATATGCATTAGCGGCACGAAGAAAATTAAAGAACGGGTTGCTGTGTACTGCAAGGGAGATGACGATGTGGCAAAACTCAAAAATGCTGTCAATGGTCAACTAAATGGCCGTTTGACTGCCAACGAGTTGAAAAAATACAACCCCCGTCTGCTAGGAAAAAATGTGAATTTCTCTGATGATATCAAGGATGACAAGAAGTTAATTGAGAACATCGTGCGATTGAATGACATGGATGATCATGCGGATTTAGAAGTTATCACCAAAATTGAAAGAACTCATCAAATAGTTCTGGAAGTATCCCCTGATTTACGCAAGAAGCTTCTAGCACGAGGCTATGTCTGGTTGGGTTGGAGAAAGTGTCCTATTGTTGATCATCTGCGGATAACCCAATGCTTCAGATGCTGTAAGTTCGGACATATTGCTAAGCAATGCAAATCGTCTACCTCTGCATGCATCAAATGCTCAAGAGATCATATGGCGAATCAGTGTGAGGTCGCAAGTGACCAGGTGAAATGTATAAATTGTGTTAGTTATGGTTCTAAGTCTAAGTCACACGTCCAAGTTAATCATGCTGCAAATGACTCTCATTGTCCGGCTTATATAAATTATGTGCGGAATTTAAAAAATAGAATTAACTTTGACTAGCAATTAGTTGAACGTCTCTTCTTTAGTACATATATGTATTTCCTTTATTTTTAACTTTTTATTATTTTTGTTAATACTCCTGAATCCATATGGAACATGTTAGTATTACGAAGAAGTGCAAAATAGGTCACCTAAATGTAAGATCTCTGATGTCAAGCTTTGACGCATTTACGGACATGATGAATGAGGATGATTTTGACATTCTTGCTCTAACGGAAACATGGTTAAGCCCTGATATCACAATGGATGTAGTTAACATCAGAAATTTTAACTTTTTTCGCAAGGACAGGTTGTCTCGTGGTGGTGGTTGTGGTGTTTATATTAGACAAGACATACGTGCTGAGATTATTGATGATGACGTCACGCTAAACACAGTTCCGTTTTTAGAGCAGCTATGGGTGAAATTAAGGATTGATCAGCATGATTTTGCAGTAGGTATATTGTATCGTCCCCCTTCACAAAGGCTAGTTGATTGTACAAATGCCTTAGACAATATAATGCCTAATGTACTGAGTAATTTTAAAAATATTATTATCCTTGGTGATTTAAATGTAAATTTATTTGCCGATAATACCTTACAACAATGGATGTGTATGGTTTCAAGCAAATTATTGATGCTCCCACTAGAGTAACTAATAGTACAGCAACTCTTCTGGACCCTGTTCTTATTAATACCCCAATCACTGTCACTAACTGGTTTACTTTAGATGCTAATTTGTTGTCCGATCATAAAATGGTGTGCTGTATCTTAAACATATCCCGTTTGAAACATGAACAAAAAATGATCACCTTCAGAGATTTCTCACACTTTGATGAGCAATCTTTCATTGATGACCTGGCTACAGTAAATTTTATTGAAATGTGCTATATGAGAAATATTGATGATAAAGTTCAATTTTTCAGTAGCAAGTTAATTGACATCTTCAATCGTCACTCTCCTATAAGGACGGTACGCGTGAGTAAGCCGAAAGCGTCATGGTTGTCATATCCGTTGAGACAGCTTCTAAAGCAAAAAACGAGAGCATATTATTTATACTAGTTAGACAAAAGTCCAGAAAGATTGCAGGTTTTTAGGGAACTTATAAACCTTGCACTATCGTGCATTAGACATGAAAAAAATGGCGTATCTTGCTCACTTGGAAAAAGGGCGTGATTAGAAAAAATTATGGTATGAATTGAAAAATATGAAAGCACAGACATCTGATAAGCCACGTATTCCAAACCACATTGTAGATTCGTTCCTTGCAAATAATTATTTCATATCAGTTTTTGATTCCACAAATGCTCCTGATCACGTTTTAAGGTATTATAACGAAAATGTTCCTCATATTAATAAATTTTCTTTCAGGCTTCTAGAGCCTCATGAAGTAGCTGTAATAATTTCTAGTTTTAAGTCCGATGCAAAAGGTACTGATGGGTTGTGCTTGTCTGCCTGTTACTCTCATCTACATCACCCACCTTGTTAATAGTTGCCTTGAAAGAGGTTATTTCCGTGAAACGTGTAAGCGTACCAGTTCCAAAAAAATCAAATCCAGATGAGTTTGCTGATCTAAGACCTATAAGCCTATTGTCTTGTTTATCGAAGGTAGTTGAAAAGGCAGCCCACATACAACTAATGCATTATGCAGAGGAACATATCATCCCATCTAATCAGTCTGCTTTTAGGAAATCTTTCAGTGCTACTACTTCCCTCTTAAACTTGGTGGATAATATTATTAGAGCACTTGATAAAAAAAAATGGGCGTAGCGGTTATGTCAATCGATTACTCCAAGGCATATGACAAAATAAATCACGAGTTGTTAATAGCAAAGTTGAAGTAGGGTAAAGTCGGATAAAGCGTACCGCCGGGTAAATCGTACCACCACCGTTTTCAAGAGAATTATTTACTACCCGTGGCATCTCTTGGCAAAATCCAAAAGCTTTGAGGATTATATTTTTCCCGCCCAAGCTAATAATTTGCCGCTCACTTCACCCTGTCAGTCAGTTTGAGGTTAAATTAAGAGCAGTGTTGTTGATGTTATTTTTTGCTCCGGTTCATAAGCTTTTTTCTTACATTTGGTAAGTAGATACTTTTAAGATGTATTATTCACGTATTTTATGGACGTGTAGTTAGTTGTTGCTGAAATTATCAATTGGAAATACGTTTGTTTAGGTTGAAATTTTATATAAAAAAGTAAAATTGTGCTTGTGTCGTATATCGTACCACCGACAGTTTTGTAAATCGTACCGGTACGATTTACCCAACCGAGACTTTTTGCTCCATTTTTCATAAGTTTTTGTTACAGGAATTCAAAAAAGAAGATGAGTAAAGTAAATAATAAGAAAAAAACAAAACGGGAATACTGTGGATGGACCTCAGAAGATATGGATCATGCAATTAATGCATACAAACAAAACCAATGTGGTTTTAATGAATGCTGCAGGCGCTATAACATTCCAAAGCCAACTTTTAGAAGGCATTTGCGCTCTTTAAATAAAAAGGCAAATGAAAATGTCAAGTCTTTGGGTCGTCACACAACCTTCAGTCCTGAAACTGAAATGGAATTGGCAAAACATATTTTGAAGCTGGAAGAAAGATTTTTTGGTGTAACAATTCGGGATGTTAGACGATTGGCTTTCCAAATAGCTGTTCGGAATGATAGTCCACATCGCTGCGACATCCTGCACTGTCACTAAGGCAACCAGAGAAAATCTCCATGGCTAGAGCAACTGGATTCAACCAAAAAAACGTCCATGAGTTTTTTGATATCTTAGAAAGATGTGTTGATGAAAACTGTTTTACGGCTCAAACAACTTATAATGTTGATGAAAGTGGATTTTCAACTGTTCAAAAACGGAATCAAAAAATAATTGCACGTAGAGGAAAGCACCAAGTTGGAGGTATAGCAAGTGGTGAGAGGGGCGTAAATACCACAGTTGTCGTTTGTGCCAGTGCTGCCGGTCAAACTGTACCACCCATGATCATTTTCAAGAGAAAACGTATGGCTCCAGACCTAACCATAGGTGCAATATCTGGCACTATTGTTACAATTTCAGATACTGCATATATAAAAATAGCGAACTTTTTGTTAAATGGTTAAAGCACTTCATTGAGTACGTAAAACCAAGTACCGAAAAAAAAGTTTTGCTTTTGCTGGATGGCCACACAACGCACTCAAAAAATCTGGAAGCACTCATTTTAGCAAAAATGCATGGAATTGTACTACTGCAACTTCCTGGCCATACTACAAATCGGTTACAGCCATTAGACGTAAGCTTTTTTAAACCTATGGAATCCTATTTTTCTCAAGGTATTGAAACATTTTTGAGAAGCAATCCTGGTAACACTGTTACTCAATATAACATGACTGGATTGCTCTCTGATGCCTATGCAAAAACAGCATCAATAAGCAACATCATGGGTGGTTTTAAAAGAACTGGAATATGGCCGGTTGACCGTACTGTATTTTCTGATGCAGATTTTATCGCTGCTAGCGCCTTGCTTGAAAATGATTCAGAAACAGCAAGGGAGGATTTAGGGGCAATAAATCCACGTGAAACGACTATTGAGCCTGAAGACGAAGCTACTGATCGACCAGTTAAAAGTAATAGTACTGAACTAAACAACAATTGTAACTCAACAGATCTGAATACCTCCATTGAAGAAATTTATCCTTTACCTGAGAATAAAGGTAATGCTAAGAAAAGAAAATTGTCATTTTAAGCAGTACGTCCTATAAAGATGAATTGGAGAGCAAGCGTAATCAAAGGCAGAACTCAATTAAAAAAGTAAAGAAAAATCTCGAGCTTTCTTCTACTTCCCTTTTCGAAGCACGTGACGACCAATCTTCCACTTCAAAATCTGATGTAGTAAATGCTCAAATTGAATATGATACTACTGAATGGTACTGCCATATATGTGAAGAGAACATTATTGAGGATATGGTGAAATGTATGAAATGTGAGAAATGGGCCCACACATCATGTGCAGGAACTAAAAAGCAAATAAAAAAAAATGTGTGTGAGAACTGTAAATAAAAAGTTAGTGGTACGATTTAAAAACCGACGGTACGATTAAACCAACCTGTTCGCTTAATCGTACCATTTGCAAGCATTTTTATTTTTGTATTTTTTTTGCTTAAGATGTTGTTTGATTTAGTTAAACTCTTGATTAAGGAGAAAATAAATGTTTATATTTGCTTGTGTGCTATTATGAATGCTAAAGAGTTTAATTTCTGAGTACAGTGGTCAATTATTTAAAAATCGGTACGATTTACCCTACTCTACCCTATTATGGCATAGATCCAATTGCATTGAACTTTTTTCGAAATTATATATCAAATTGATCGCAGTGTGTATCAATTGAAAAAAATAAATCTAGTTTTCTATAAATCTCGTCTGGAGTACCCCAGGGCTCTGTTTTGGGTCCCTTGTTGTTTTTGATATATATTGCTGATCTGCCTAATTCTGTGGTCTGGTCCATTATTTTGATACTGATGATATGGAAATGGCACAGACATCAATAAACCATGATATCCAAAAAGTGTATGACTTCTCGAATAACCACAACCTGTCAATAAATACTGGTAAATCCAGCCTGTTATTTTTTGTTCGGATCGTAGGAGAGAAGAAATTAAAAGTCGATTAACTATTAAAATTGGATCTCAAAGACTGTACCCGGTTGACGAGGTTAAAATTATTGGCGTCGTAATCGATTTCAAACTTAGATTCACCAGTCATGTTAAAAATCTTTTAAAGAAAACCTACTTGAGACTGAGATCACTATATGCCAATAAAGCAATTTTCAATTATAAGCTAAGGAAAAAACTGTGTTCATCTTTGGTTATGCCGAACTACTGTGATATTTTATATTATCCGTGTCTCAATGTTGTTACTAGAAATCGGATTCAAATTGTGCAAAACAATTGTGCTAGGTTCATCTGCGGTTTAAGGCGCTTCGACCATGTTTCTGGTAGTCTTATTGAATTAAACTGGATGGTAACAAAAAATATTGTCAAATATCATTACCTTGTTTTCATTCATAAACTAATACTTATGTCAAAACCTATATACTTGAAACAAAAGCTGATCTTTAGGCGTAATATTCATCATAGACATATTAGATTTCCAGATTTGATAACTACACCTATTCACTCCACAACTTTATTCCAGCGTTCTTTCACGTACAGTCCTTCAGTGTTATACAATGCCTTGAGTCCTGAATTCAAAACCATGTCCTTAAATTGCTTCAAGAAAGCTGCCAAATCTCATATTTGCTTGAATCCATAGTCTTAATTATATTGCTATAGATATATTGTTAAATGATTCTTCACTTCCCTTGTGTACATGTAGTAAACCTTCGTGCAACATGTATGTATATATGTGTGTATATGTATGTATGTATGTACATATGTATATATGTATATATGTATATATGTATATATGTATGTATTTACATGTGTATGTATATTTTGTTTGATATCTGCTACTTAACAACTTGTTTTTTTTTTGCATGGGTGGTTAAGTGTAAGAGTAGCATGCTGCTAAACTTCGCCACGATATGCAACTCTTGTTTCTCTGTATGAAATTGTACAGTTTAAATAAAGACGATTATTATTATTATTATTATTATTTAGCCATTTCGTCGATAACCTACTTGTCAGCACTTTTATTGCCCTTGACCAGATTTAAGAGTTCTGCTTTGACCATATCGTTGTCAAAGGGAACACTATGCCTTCGTAGCCATTCATGTATTTCTCCTTTTCTGTTTCCACTGTTTGGTGCTTTATCAATTCGCCTACTATGGTATGAAGCATTGTCCATAACAATGACAGCGTTCTCTTCTAGACGCCTTATAGTATTTTCAAACCATTCTTCAAATAAATTGGCATTCATATCCTGCTTGTTTTGATTCAAATACCAATCGTCCGTCTTCCACGAAGCCATTATCAGATCCGTTTTCCTTCACCTGAAGGATTTTTTAATCCCGTGAAGAGACCTTCCAGGAAGGCTTGTCGAGGATGCTCAACTGATGAATCCACCCATACTTTGCTAACAGTGTGTCCTCCTGCATTGAGCCAAGTCTCGTCTAGGTAGTATATCTTCCTGCCTTCTTCTCTATACTTCCAGATTTCGCGTAAGTATGTACGTTTCCAACATATTATCTTGTAATTTTCTTTCAAGATGCTATTTCGCTTCCTTCCTACGTTTTAAAAATCAAAGTGTGTGCAATAGAAGTAGCTATCATGTTAGTGGGTAAGATACTTAACAGAAAATAACTATTATTTAGATTAGAATAACACATCAAACTACAAAATATTTTAAATTATACTTCAAAGCTAAATCCTCACCTGGTGCTCTTGAAACAAAGGCTACACGTTCTGCCTGAGTCTCATTTGGATAGCGCTCCCGAGAATCTATATAAATATTTATAATAATTTCTTTTTCAGAAACCAACAAAGCTCGTTTTGTCCGTTTTCTTGGTAATTGGCCGTCGTCTAATAAGGCACTCATGTCGAAATATCCTTTTAAAAGTTGTCTCACAAAAAAGAATTCAACCGCACCTCACAGACCTTTCGGAAAGGATTAAAGTGCTATTGTGAACTTGGCGGACCAATAGGAACGAAGCGCGTGCCGGTCATGTGATTTATTACTGCGTAGGTTCGTTGGATAAATTATAGATGAATTTCTTCTATGTCATAAGGCAAAAATTATGTCATAATTCAAATTGGCTGCCTTTACTTTTTTGCGGAATAATAAACTGATCATAATAGGAACTGGATCACTTCGGGTTCTGCGAAACAGTGGAACTGGGCGTGAAACTAAAATAGAGGATAGATGTATATGGAAATGTGTCTAAGTGATTCATAATTTGACTGGTTTCACACCTACCATATCTTGTTTTGAATTTCATGAGCAATGAGTGTACCCATTTCGCCAAACCTTTAAGTTGTTCTCAAGGGTGTGTAATAAAAATTTTCTTTTCAAAACCAAAAAGGACAAAATAGGATTTTGCATGAGCAAAAATCACATATGAGACTTAAAACTGTTCAGAGTAATACTTCCATTCCAATTTCTTTGTCGTAAACTCGCAGAATTACACCAGAATCATGTCATTTCGTTTAGATCCAGCAGTTGCAGCATTTATAGCTGCCCATGAGTTCCATGAAAAACACGATGATCATTGTGTGTTAAGTAGACTTCAGTTAAGGTTCTTGATTTACTCAACTGCGACAGAACTCATACACTTGAGCATAACTCAATAAGAAATTACTCTGAAGTATTTGATACAGTTCTGCAGTCTATTAGTTAAAGATTCTAGTCTTGAGTCTTCTGTAAACTTATACCGAAATTTTAATAGTTTTTCAAATATCTTTGACAGGCGATACTGTTGTGGAATACTCTAGAAAATTAACTCATAAATGTTTGCTGCATGCCTGTATGTACATATCTATGTACGTTGTGTAAATCTGCTTAGTTTTCCCACGATTTTGAAAATTATATAAGATACGTTAACTCTGCCAATCTTAGGCTGCTATAGTAACTCGAAAATAAGTGTCTAACTAGCAAAACTGTTCACAGTTCGGAGTAAAATCTGATTAATGTTTGTTGCAGGTACTACAATCATTACTAGAAGTGAACACGTCAAGAACACCAACGATAACGTCTACCTTACCCAGGACAGTAACTGCGACTCGCTTTTGACCTAATTAAGTACGAAGACGAGGACCTTGTGTACTTATAAATTCAATTTTTATTGTTACGATAACGATATTATAAATGTTGCGTTGTGCGTGTTGTTTTTAAAGGGACTCTTAGTACGAGAGTATATGTCTGTGAGCACGTCTATAGGATACGTTAGTGTGCCAGTATAACATTTTTATAAGCAATTCAATTGCACTGTATATGTGTTAATGTGTTTTGAATGACTGATCATACGAGTATGTACAATCACTATGAATCTGATTTTAACAAAAAGTTCCACGGCTCACCTTAGCGAAACTTATTGTCTTACGTTAGCACGAGCAAGACAAATAAAACTGGCGTGCGGATACTGTTACTTAACTAAACAACGATAATAGTTTTATATGGTGAGCTTTAGAACTTGATATATGTTCATAAGTTAAGTCTATGTCGGGTTCAATAACCCAGGATGGTTCAAGTGTTCAAGCGGATGAACAAGTCTTAGGCCGCGGTTATAGTCTAAGGTGGCAGGAGACAGACGGCGAGTTTTAGGCGACGGACGACGCCGGTCGTGTCTGTTTTGTACGTTTTTTTTATATATCGAAACAGCCGCGCAGGCAGAAGAAAATGCCGGAACACCGCGGCTGCTATGATGATCCCAAAGAAATTTTGTTAATACGATTTTTGAACTGCCTGGTTAGTAGTAGGTTAGTAGAACTGGGAAAAGCTTCCTCTTGTAGATTGTTCCACAATCTAGACACCCTCGGGACAAAGGAGCGGTCGTATCGGCCAGTTCTGGATGCACGAAGTTTGACACGGTTAGGATGGGATGCCGAAGTCAGGCGTGTCTGTCTGGCAGGCACATCGCGCGGCGCCATCATGGAAGAGAGCTCTGAGGAGCAAAGCCCGTTGGTGTAACGATAGAAAAGAGCTAGATCGCCGACGGCCCGCCGGTGCGAAAGTGTCCCGAGACTGTCTGTTAGAGAAGAGTCATCGATCAGTCGAACCGCCCTCCTCTGGACAGCATCGAGCATGAAAAATGTAGTCGGGGCGGCAGCACCCCAAATGTGTGAGCAATACTCGAGGCTAGGCCTTATCTGGGCCTTGTATAGAGTGAGAAGGTCATACGGAGAAAAGTACTTCTTAGCCCTAAACAAATAGCCTAGCTTTTTCCCAGCAGCTGCAGCTATTGGCGAGATGTGTTCGTGCCAGATCAGGTCCTCGGTGATCTGGACTCCGACCAGCCGAAATGAATAGCTCTTTGGTAGAGCTCGGCCGTCCATCGAAACTGTATGAGCGCTAGGACGCTTTTTGTTCGTCAAAGTACAGTACTGTGTTTTGGAAGCATTGAACTGTACAAGATTGTTGCGTCCCCAAGCAGTGATAGCCTCCAGGTCTCTTGTCAGAGAAGAAGTCGTCGCTAGTCTTCTTTTTTCCTGCTCAGCGGCAGAGAGAGATATTTTCAAAAGTATGTTCTTTAGTTGCATCGACTTAAATTAGGTATATAATTTAACGTTCGGTCTATTATTTTTTATTTTCAGTTATATTCAGTCTCGAATATGGATTCCTTAGGCATTTAACATTACGTAGTGCATGAGTACGTATTTCTGCAGAGGTTTGATACGTATTTAGATTTATATGCACATAACATAGGACTTCCAAAAAAAATAAATCGATAGAAATGATAATATTTGTTAATTTTTGATGGGATTTCTGCACGTTGATTCACAACTGGAATTTGTAGTTTCAAAGCGGTTGTTTGTATATTAAAGATTTTGTTAGATGATAGTGAGTTTCACCAGAGCGCTGTGCCATATGTAATGTGACTATGGAACATGCTGAAGTACACTACCCACAAAGTATAGTTATCAAAGAATCTGCGTAGTTGCCTGAAAACAAATTATCTAGACAGTCTACAAAGTAAATCAATGTGAGATGTCCAGTTTAGTCTGGTATCGAGTACTATTCCTAGAAGTTTCACGGATTCAGATCTCATAACCCACCTGTCAGAGGAAAATGTAATATGATGTGTCTTGTTTTCATTTAGGGATAACTTGTTGGCTGAAAACCATCGTTTAGCTTGTGTTCCAGACTATCCACACCCGTGTTTTGGTCATACCTAGACAGCAAAATGGTATCCTCTGTAAATAGGAAGCAGGATCCGTTATCAATACTCGAGGGCAGGTCATTAATGTATATTAGAAATAGCAGAGGGCCAAGGTCGGAGGCGGTACCCTCAGAGCCATCAAACTGCTTTCCATTTCACAAATACGAACGAAATAGCCTAGCTCGGTGTTTCTTACGCCATAGTATTCTAGTTTTACAATGACCCATCTGAAAATCGTGCACGGTAATATCCGTAGCAGGGATATTCAGATTTGCTTCTTCCGATCGGCAAACCCCAACCTACTCTGGACACTCTGATGAAGCCGCTTTTATACTGCAAGGTGGCGAAAGGGCGGATTTAGAGGATGGCGGAGACGCACATCATGAATGCTGTGACCACCGCTGCGCCCTCCAAAGACAGATTCCTAAATCTGCCCTTGGGTGACGGCGACTGGTGACATACAAGGTTGTCAAATATGGGCCGAATAGAGTCAAATATTTTACACCGTATCCACGCAATCCTTGCGCTCTTATATTGTCTTAGTATCCTACACATAGTTGTTTGCATGTGGCTTCATTGACTGTAGTACTTAGGTAAAAGGCAGTAAAAAGCGAAAATCGAAGTCTGAGAAAGTTCAGTTCGAAATTCTGAATAAATAGTTTCTTGTAATCAATTATAACAGGAAATTGCGTTTCTTTATACATCTAATCCAATTAAGTACAATAAATTTATATAAAAAGGATCATTAGAGGAATAATTTCAAATAAACAGTACCAATACGACAGAACAAAAGTGATTGAAGAGTTGCATGACTTTATAGAGTCACTTATATGTGATTTCGCATGCGAATTGTTGCCGAGGCTTAAATTAATGACATTCCGGCTTTAATTGTCGTATATCGAAAAGCAGTAACATGTGATTTACTGCTTTTATACTCTGCAAAAGCAAATTTACTGCCATCTTCCATAGTTTTATGATCTATTCGTATTATTTTTTTTTTTTTAAGGAAAAACGCAGTTAAGCAGAATTTCACTTTGTTTTTATATGATTTATTCATATTTACATTCACATAAATAACACAAAGGTAAACATGCTCAACATCTGATAGTTCCATTTAGTAATTACATTCAACAAAAGTAATTATATAGATAAGCTAAAAACACCATGTTTTCTTACATATGTTGTATCTTGTATGCAAGGTTTGTTTACAAAGTATCGCGAATTTCATGTTTTTCAAGAATCATTTATTTATCCATGAATATCTATTTTGTCCCCTTCAGACATTATACACTTGTGATAATGTTTTTTCCAATCCTCGAAGCATTTTGAAAAATCATTTTTTGTGATCCTGTTTAGCTCCTCTTTCGATGCCATCTTTATCTCCTCAATCGTGGCGTAGCGTCGCCTTTTCATGGGCCTCTTCAGTTTCGGGAACAAGAAAATGTCACAGAGGGCCAGGTCTGGGGAATACGATGGGTGAGGCATTATTGGAGTGTTGTGTTTGGCCAATTCGCACACAACGATGCATGAGCAGGGGAGTCATTATGGTGCAAAAGCCAATTTTTGTTCTTCCACAAATCCGGGCGTTTCTGGCGGATTGCTTCTCGCAAATTGCGCGTTACTTGAAGGTACTATTCCTTAATGACCGTTCTACCCTGCTGCAATGTTTTAGTTTGTTGTTGACATGCTCGGGCATCCGGGAAATAACCTATGTCATCTTGCAAACTAGGTAGTTTTTAGGGAGCAAACAGTCATTCCACGTTTGCTCACTAGGATCGTTGTGAACGTCCATCTAAGGAGGAATCGCTCAACTAAACTACACTCATTATTGGTTGCATATGTTTTGTTAGGCCAAATGGTCCTTGTCTGTAGTTTCTATCTCTGAGAAGAAAGTTGGTTCAATAGCAAGATCGCATCTGGATGATTCTATGTATTGGTCTGCATGTGTATAAAATCAGTGATATTTGCTGTGTGAGAAAATCATTACTGAATATGCCGAGTATGACGGGTTATTTATATGTTGTGCTTTCTGAAGAGAGGTTATGTTCAAAGTTATAAATTACGAAAAACTGAGGAGAATTACGTGAAATCATCACAGCGCGTTATGTGTAATTACTGCATGTATATGGCTTGTAATTCGACAGTGTACAGTGAATATGATTATTTCTTATCTCTCTCATTTTTTAAATTGAGCAAATTTGTATATGTAATTTCCACAATGGATAAGAAAAAGTGGATGCGCAACTAATTTCTAGCTTTGAGTCTCAATTAAGTGTATTTGAGACAAGAACCCAATGTAATTATCATCAACACATACAACTTATAGCTTAGACCTCCAGTAATGCCATCTCAGAAGCAGATTTTACATCACATCAGAGCCAAAGATTGATAACAAGTGCTAAGTTAACATATTGTAGAATAACCTACATAATGTCAAAAAAACAGCATAATGTCAAAAAAAAACGACATAATGTCACTTTTCAATATACGTGATACCCGTGCGAACGCTTTTCGTCGCTCACATCTTCTCGGCCCTCTGAGAACATTTTGTACCACGGATAAACGTTGTTTTTGTATCTTCGTCATATACATTATTCAACATTTGGAATATGTCCGCGCACTTCAAGTTGTTTGTTACACAACATTTAATACAAATTATTTGATCCATTTTTGGAATAGACAAAACTCGGAGACAAACTAAAACACGTCCATGCACAATAGCTGTCAAAAACTGACTGAAAATTCAAAATGGCCGATATTGTCAACATTAGTGAGGGTCATGAGTACCAACATAACGCCACAAAAAGATCGAAAATCGAACATACGTAGCCCGCGAAAATTCAAAATTTTCGATACTTACTACAAACCTCGTATGTCAAGTTAGACGAAGAATATTCTTCCGGAGCAAAACTAATTATTTATACCGATGAAAAATTAAATAATTAAACATAATAGGTTATAAAAAGGTAAAAAGGGAGTAATTGTATTAAAGAGTACAAGCAGTATAGTTTGATATAGTTTCTGCTTTGATAAATTGATACACTGCTCTCATGCTTAGGAAATTTAGTTAAAATGGAATATTTGACAAAGTCAAAAACTAATTATTTTTATAGTGTAATCATGTTGAGATGTTGGCGTCAAAAGTTTAAAAAAGGCAGTGACTGAGCTTTACTGCCTGTTGCCTAAGTACGTCAGCATAACAGTTAAAATTGTTGTTTTGGGAGGAGCCAGTTTCACACGGCTAAATACTAACAGCGTTATCATTTTGGGCCCTGTTTTGGTGATTTTTGTAACTTTTAGGAAATTTGTAGGGGCATAGTTTTTCGCAGGATATATTTAGGGGTAGTTTCGTTTTAAACCGTGTGAAGCTAGCCATTGCCAAGCTCTCATAGCTTTATTTAATTACGCTACAACAAAACATACAACAACTCTATTGTCGATCGCGCTAGTATTGATCAACGCGGGATTGTAACACAATATCGTAACGCGATGTTCGAGTGAATGTCAATATGGTGTAATTTTACATTCTTTCGGTGCATGTGGCAACCTTGCACGGCACCCATCGCCGCCACCTCAGAGTATAACTATGGTGTGAAAAGCATAAATGGACTGCCTACCACCCGCCACCTATCGTCTGTCGCCTTGGAGTATAACGACAGCCTTAGATTGAATTTGAAAAAGTCGGAGCTAAACTCACAATAAATGACTAGACGGAAGGTAATGTCTCGTTGAATATTTAAGTAATTTCTCGTTTACAGCATCGCAAGCAACCACTGCAATGAAAGTAATAACGTTTTTTCCGCAGAGCCAGAATCCACTGATGAATCTAAAATCTGACATGTTTTTAGTCGGAACTGAATGTCGGAGACTGCCGATACTAAGACTTGATAACAGGAGGTTTTTTAGAATTTCATGGTAAATGTGGCTATCGACAGCAATTTATGTATATAGCATTTTCACAGCTACAAGCGATACCATTAATTCCAAGGTGAATATTGTCCTAGAGAGAAATTTTTTATATGGAAAATTATGTTATGTC